TATATATATATATATACACTATAGATTGTAATAGGTTGGTTAGATATGATGAAATTTGGTCAATAGCATAAAATGGTTTTTCTCTAAGGATAAAGTGTATATAGATATAGGCAGTGATGCAGAAGAGTACAAGTTGCCAATTCTGATGTTGGAGGAAATGAATGTTTTTATGTCAGGTGAGTTTTCACAGATGAGATAGATCTATATGCTATAATCAGAATTTTATAATGCAGAATTGTTTTGATTCTCTTACAGAATGAAATCTTGCCATTTTTGTTTCTCATATAATTGTTTAAAGATTAAACATTCTTAAACAGATAAAATTTAACACTCTCTTTCATCCTACTTGTAACAGTTTCCCTGTAGCTAATTCTGTGCATATTTATGTATTTGTATTGGTTAAAATCTATATATGAAATGAAAGCCATTGTATAAATTTGATTCCCTTGACCATGAATTCTATTGACTATTACCTTTTTTGCACCTTACTGTTAAGAGGGTCATCCCATAACCATTTAGAAGTATTAGATGAACCTTGCATTAAGAAATTGAATGATAATAAATATAACTAAAATTAAAAATCATTATTTCTTGTTATAGTATCACATTAAATATATTCATATCTTTAAACATGTATATTTTAATAAAGTTAAGAAGTGATAAACCTTTTTTACTAAAATTTAAAACTTACTTAAATAATCTCTCAACGATTTATAATTACTTGAAGAATTTATTTGAAATTGTTTTTTGTTTTTTAATTTCGTTAACAATGCTAAATTTGACAGCGTGCAACTAATTTACACATCATTAAAGCTTTAATGGCTAAACAAATTTATTTTAAAGTATAGAATTAAGTATAGCCATCAAAACGGGTCACTCGACCCAGTCCATCATGAGCTCAGCTCATTTATTAGCGAGGCAAAAAAATTCGGATTCGATCTAACCCACCACAGGTTGGTTGGTGGGTAAACGGGTTGATTCACGGACTCACTTAATTACATTTTTTTTAAAAATAAAAAAAATTACAAACCTATCTAAACAAATTTCACTCCCAAGATGTGTGTTTAATTAATTTGAAAAATAGAAAACTTAA